AACAGATTCCTATTAACTAACAAAAAGTAATAAAGTTACTTCTTGCCAAAGTACAACCCATGACAAAATATTTTGGTACAACAATTTTACTGAAAATCATTTAAAATGAAAGGTGTGTAAGGAACAGAAACAAATTTCATCCTAAGGTCTATAACAACTTTGCAAAATAAAAATAATCATTTCAAATGATACCATTACAACTGCATACATTCCCAAATCATTAAAAACAAATATGCTATACAACCATACACTTTATTTAGTACATGAGAGCACATATTAAACACGTATATATTACATATAAAGAAATATATAAATATACATGAGCATAAAGTAAATGTGAAAAAGTGATAACACAAAATCCTGAAGGAAAACATTTTCATACTTACCATAAACACCATCAAGAACAGTTTGCAAGGACAATGCAGCACAGAACTATGCCACAGCAATTCTATTGCTGTGTTAAAACCTATGTGAGTAACAGAGCTGCTACATGCAAGGCGGAGCAGAGAATCACAGAAAAGCAGAATAAGGGCCTTCATCAAATGGTAGGTGACAGCAGGCCCAGCTTGTGGACCTTTTCATTACATGCATCAACAAATTCACTATCCATCTTTAGATTACATTTTTTCCAATGTATTATATAAAAGATTAAGCTTCTTTCATATTTATGTCAATAAAAGTCTACATTCACTTATCTAGTAACATTATTTTAGGAAAATATTAAACTTTTCAACTACCTTTTCTTGCAGATCATTTTCTCCTACAATCTGGTGAAAATATGAATAGTCTACTCATAAGAAGATAGGACCAAACTGTACTATGAAAACTTCATTTCTGAAGCTTAATATTCAAGTTTTATGAAAAATTGTATCTAATATCTCTGGTCTACAAAAATGTTTGATAATCATGAAGCTATATAATATAAACATTAAAAGAAATGGACTTACACTTTTAGAAAACAAAGGAGATATTTCTAAATTCCACATTATTGACAGTAACATTAATATAAACAATTTATCTATTGAGGGAATAAACATGTAAGTAGACTTTGGAAGAATCTAATGCTATATGTTACTGTCAAGGATATGGATGAAATGTGAACTTCGGCCAAAAGTTGAGAACAAAAAGGTTTTTTGGCCTCTTAAATCAATTTAGCCTACACACCTCTTAATAGAATTACATTAGATAAATCATATTTATCTCTAATCACAGTAGAAAGAAAACCACAGTGCATACTAGTCTAAAACTCCTATACCTCCTGTATCTCACTAATTATATGGCAAATAGAAATAACTACCTGACATAATGAAATCTTTGGTTAAATCCAGCTATCTGCCAATTTCATTCCTACACTAAGAAGCTAAATGTGCCTTTGAGAAAACACACAACCACAATCTTGGCTTCACTTTCAATGTATGTTTATGCATTTCAGCCGGCTCCTTAGTCCAGCCTAGCAGTCCTGCCATACTCTGAAGTTGACTCACTCCTCATCTACATGGCAATTACACACATTCTCCTCCCTTTTGAAACATCAGTACTACCCACCTCAACATCATTCTCATTAAAAGAGACCAAGTGCACCCTCTTCTACCCATCTACACACATTGATATCCACACACTCTGCCATCCCTTCTGTTATTATAAATAAACAGCCCAAGTTCCTACTGAAAGTCATACAACTAAATACCGTTCTCATTTGATAAAATATATTACTCTAACATACACACTCTCTTATACCAATAGTTTCCTCTCTACTGTACCATTCTCATCATGATACATACATACTGTTATTTCTACATTGTAAAAATTTCTACCGCACATCCCCTCTTAATACAGCCTCCCTTTCCCCTTTCATCACAGAGAACCTCAAAACAGTTAACTCTACTTCTATCTCTAATTCTGCTCTTCCCACTTTTTTCTTGAGCCCACTCCAAATAAGTTTTTGTCCCAATGCTCCACCAAAACCACTCTGGTCAGGCTGCCAATAACTCCATGTAGCATAATTCAGTGGTTAATCTTCAGAATTTACCTTACACAACTTATATCAGCATTATTTTACACAGTGAACCAGACCCTCCTCCTCAAATGCTCTTTCACATGGCTTCCAGGACACCTGGCTTTGCTGACACAGTGCTCCCCTGTTTTTCCTGCTCTCACTATTGATGCTTTTCTCTATTGCTTTTGCTGCTTATTCCTCATTCCCTTGACCTCTTAATGTTGGAGTAATCCAGGGCTCTATCCTTGAACCTATTCTCTTTTTTATATCTATGCTCTCTCTCCAAATAATCTCATCTAATTATGGCTTTAAATACATTTATCCACTGATGATTCCCCACTTTATATCTCTAGTTTAGACCACTCCCTAAACTACCAATTCTAATATCCCTAATTCTTCATTAGCATTTCCACTTGGATATATATATTGGGCATCTTAATCCATCAAAAACCCAAACTCTTGATCTAAACCCATATGGCTGACATTACAAGTGTTCACCAATGTCCAGTTCCCTTCTCCGTCAGGGCACATAAATGACAACACATGGCAAGACCATAAGACTTATTCTGGGCAATTAATGCGAGCAGCAGTGCCATGTATCACTGTCAGCCTGGGCAGTGGAAAGCCCATTTGTGGTTTTCCAATCTTTCTCTCTGCTGTGGCAAATGAAAATGTTGTGTGTTCCATCCAGGAGATAGACCTACAAGATGGCAGAGCCTCCAATCAATCTGGCAACTTGCAAAAGACCTTCCCACTGACCCACATGGGACAGGTACCTTGAACAAGAAATAAATGTATATTTTTAACCACTGAGATTTTGGAGTTCTTAGTGATTCCAGAATATCAGCTTAGCCTCTGTAGGCTAAGACTCCCCAAACCTGTTCTCACATAGCATACTTCTCCATATCAGCAACCTTATCCTTTCAGTTGCTCAACCAAAAACCTTAAAGTCATTCTTGACCCCTCTTTTTCTGTTACACCCAACATCTAATTCATCAGCATATCCTGTACCTTCAAAATATATCCAGAATCCAATCAACTTTACTGCCTCCACTACCATCCTGCTCTTCAAAACACAGTGATAAAAAATAATAAGACAAGTCACAGACTAGGAAAAAATATCGACAAAGCATATATCTGATGAAAGAGTTATATCCAAAATATACAGAATTCTAAATGGTCATCAGTAAGTAAACAAACCACCCATTAAAAAAAAAATCAATGAAAGTGTTAATAGACCTGCCACCAAAGACATATGAATAGCAAATCAACACATGAAAAGATACTCGATATCACTGGGAATACAAATTAAATTAGAAGCACAGTGAGATATCACTATACCATATTAGAATGGGAAAAAGTAAAAACACTGAAAATATAGTACCAAATGTTAACTAGGATGTAGAACACTAGAACTCTCATTCACTACTGGTTGGAATGTAAAACTACATAAATGCTTTAAAACATAGTCTGGTAATTTCTTTAAAAGTTAAACATACATATGTAGTAAAAGAACACTTGTATATTAATAGAAATGGTTTACATCAGAAGCTATTTATAGGAAACTTATAACTATTTGTAGATGATTCTTCCTTGGTTGAAAAGTACTAAAACTTACACCTACCGGATGATATACCCATTCCACTCCTAGGTATTCCCAAGGAAATAAGGGTAATATTATATATAAACTTAAGATTTCTACATGAATACTCATAGCCAAAAATTAGAAACTGCCCAAATTTCCATCAACAGGTGAATGGATGAACAATTTGTAGTATATCTATACCAAACACTACTTCTCAGCAACGAAAGGTACTGAATTATTAATGAACACAACATAGATAAATCTCAAAATAAGTATGCTTAGTTTAAAAAAAAAGAAAAGATTAGAAAAAAAGCACACACTATATGATTGCATTGCACAAAACTCCTCTAAAAACTGCAAACTAATCTATAGTGACAGAGAGCAGGTTAGTGCTTGCCTAGGGAACCCTGGGGAGAGGGGGCGTTGAGAAGGACGGAGGAAGTAATGTCAAAGGGATGTAGGAAAATCTTTGAGGATGTATATATGGAGATGGATATACATACGGATATGTTCACTATCTTGATTGTGATGATAGTTTCACAAATGTACACATATGTCAAAACATTAAACTGTTTATGTTTATACAGTTTGTTATATGTCAACGATACTTCCATAAACCTGTTTTCAAAAAGAATGTAGCAGGTATTCAATATTTTTGGAAAGCATAAAGTGGAAAGAAATGAAAATCGATGTTGAAAGCAGAATCCTAAGAATGAACTGAAGTGGAAACCCTTTGTATCTTCCCTCCGTTAATAGCATATTTTTTTCTAAATGAGAGAATATAACTAGAAAAGGAGAAATAAGCTATCACAAATGAATGTCCCTCAGTATACAGTTGTAGGGCCTTTCAACCAAGGAAGAATCCCCTATAAGAAGCTTCTGCATTAGACAATTGCTACCCCAATATACAAATACAATTATATTGTGTCACAGTCCCCTAACAGTTGAATAATCCCTTTGAATTCATCTAAGAAACCTAGCCTAATTTCTTCTTTTTATGTCATCTTCACTTGCCACTAAACATATTGAACTTTTTCCCATCAATTTAGTTTGTTAAAAATTTTTTAAGAACGTAGGAATAGCCATACTAGATGTCCCCAGTCTGTGGATCTTGGATGGAAAATGCCTTTCTCAGGTTTACTCTGTCCTTTGTCTCCCAATTTTCCACTGAGATAAAAGAAAAATCACCATCTCCATGTCACTCATCTCCCTTGCTCTTTTCTTTGAAATCCAAAATTCCATCCATCATAATCAATTTTAGCATCATGCTAGTGTGTGAGTACATCCCCTTCTTTCACAAGCTGCTAGGGCTAGGAGTTTTCTGCAACATCACCCCTTCATGTACAAAACTATGATATAATTTTTGAAATAAAAGCACAGCAGGCACTTATGTTTAAATAAGTTAGACCCATGACTCACCTCATTTCCACCAACTGCCTTGGTTAAAATCACTGCAGAAGACACAGGCGGAGGCATGCAACCTACTGTCTGCAAACTGAAAAATAAAAGAAAATCCAACTATAAATAGTTTTTTAAAAATCATAGACCGCTTTCACTACATTCATTCTAAAATAGCAGAGCTGAGCAAATGAAAATAAGAGCATATTTATTGATGCACATGCCCTGTTGAATTTAGACAATTCTACACAATGCAATGTGGCTTACAAGATGCTGCAAAGGTACAGGTTCTAATCTCTTATGCTCTTCCATAGGCTTGAGTGAGTCTATTTTAAGTTATTTAAGCCCTTATCATACAATTCAAAAAGCAGTCAAGGAATAGTGAGTGCAGTCATTGAAAAGTAACCAAAATGGCTAATCATTTGGTAAGTGTATATAATCTTAGGTTATTTTTAGGTAAAGTAAAAAATACTTGCCCTACGTTTTTTTTGTAGGAAGTCTCTTGGTAAACTAAACCTTTAAAACTTACTTCCAAAGTTCAAAAATACTTAACAAGACACAAGCTTGTATCTTTGGATTACTTTCTATAAAACAGCAGTTTTCAAACTTTAATCTCATAAAAGACATTTGAATGTTGTAATAACATTATAGAAACAGGCATAACACAATCATTCTTGCATTCAGATTCTGTAGTAAATTCTAGTATCTATTCTCAATTTGGTTTTTACTAAATTACATGCACATGTCCAAGATCATGACAGGTTTTTTCTCTTAGGACAGAAAATAAATTGCATAACAAGCAAATGAAACTGTGAGTAGTAAACTTAAGTACTATAATTTTTTAAATTATTTCAAAATTCATATAGAATATACCTTCTGGAGAGAACAAGCAGCTGCTCTAAGTGGAAAGTGTATACAGGGCATAGAAGACATAGAGTATCTGACTTAGATTTTGAATGAGTATGATTACAGGTTACAGTTGACCACTCAACAATACAGATTTGAACTGTGAGGGCCCACTTATACATGAATTTCTTCCTCCTCTGCCACCCTTGAGACAGAAAGACCTCTTCCTCTTCTTTAATCCATTCAATTCGAAGATGACAAAAATGAAGACCTATATAATGATTCATTTCCACTTAATGAATAGTAAATATATTTTTCTTCCTTATAATTTTAATAGGTTTCTTTTCTCTAGCTTAATTGTAAGAATATAATACATAATACATGTGATATATAAAATATATGTTAATCAACTCTTTATGTTATAGGTAAGGCTTTCAGTCAACAGGCTCATAGTTAAGTTTTGGGGCAATCAAAAGCTATATGTGGATTTTCAACTGCATGGGCATTGGCACCTCTAAGTCCCACAATGTTCAAGGGTCAACTATATTTTTACTAATTTTTGTAAGAATATATATTATCTAAACTTTATGCAATGGATTTACATCAGCTCTGAAACAGGAAAAAAAAATAAAAATGTTTAAACTCATTTTAATTGAAGCATAAGAAAACACATTTTATGAAATTTCCAGCTCAATTCCACTCAATATGGTCTTCTTTCCAGGTCTATTTTCCCAAAGGCTGCTAGAGCAGTCTGTCCTGTTATAAATTCATAATCTCTGAGCCTTCCTTAGAGTCCACTATCATCATCACTAATACTGAGCATCTGCCATTTGTAGTAGACATGAAACACTGTACGTACGCTCTCATTTATTCCTCGAAAGTTATATTTAAGATAAATGTTATCATTATTCCCATCTTACTGAAAACTGAAGTGAAGAATGAAGTTAAGTAACACAAAGCTACCTATCTGGGGTAAAACTTTCATGGGTCAAAGACATACCGAGGCCTCTCACTTCAGCTTCTCTATCTCCCCTACCCCCAATACTAGGACAGATCCTCTCAGGCATTTTCAATCTTTCTAGCTTTTTCATCCCTCCTCTTCTGGCCCCTTCCCTTCTATGTACAAAAAAGCAAAATTCTCATATCTTTAAAAAGACAAAAATTTTGCTTGAACCCAGGAGGCGGAGGTTGCAGTGAACCAAGATCACATCACTGCATTCCAGCTGGGCAACAGAGCAAGAAACCATCTCAAAAAAAAAAAGAAAAAAAGAAAAAAAGAAAAAAAATTGCCGACGATATATTGAATACATATATCTTCCATGGGTAAAATCCTACAGGAAGGAATTATACGAAAGAAGCAAAAACATTATTCCTGCCTTCAAGGAGCCAGAAGAGTCAATGCACAAATGTAGATAATTAATAGCAAAATGAGTGGTGCTGCCTCCTCAAGATACACCTACTTTTCTCACTGTGACTCATTTTTGACCTTTAAAAAGTACCTGCCTCCATGGCCCCACTGATCATTCTCTTTCTACTTCTCTGAAATGAGACTTCTGCTCCCTCTACTAGTAATAGTAACCTTAAAGTAACCAGGAATCTCCAAGTCACCAAATCTGGCCTCTTTTTCCCCATATTCATTCTGCTTACATTCTTACTTCTCAGAGCACTTTAATGTTTAGCTTCCATCTTTTAAACCAGCCCATTATGGGTTGTTTGTTGTTGGTGGTGGGTGGTTGTGGGTTTTTTTTTGTTTGTTTGTTTTTGCTGCCTCTCCTGCCATCTTTTCAATCTTATTTTCAACCTGTAGGAATACTTTCAAGTTTATATTTTTTAGCCCTAACTACAGTTCCCAAATTTGTAGCTGCCTATGACTGCCACCTTAAACTAAGCATGTCTAATACTGTATTTATATATTTGTTTGCCAAGTTTAATGAGATATAATTGACAAGCAAATATTGTATAAATTTATGGCATATAACATGATGTTTTGACATATATATATATACACACACACACACACACACTGTGAAATTATTACCACAATCCAACTAATTAATGTATGTATCTACTCTCTTAGCAATTTTCTAGTTTATTTTATTAACTCTAATCACCATGCTGTACAACAGATCTCCAGAACGAATTCATATATTTTCTAAAAAATAAACTTCCCCTCTGAATTTACATATTTTTTGGTCAATGGGACCATTTTTTTCATAATAGTCCAGTTTGAAACTTTGAAGTTATACGTGACTCCACTTGCTCCTCAAAAATCAATCTGTCACTACAACTAACTTTCCATTCTCCTCCATGACTATTGCCAGCATCCCTATCCAGATGCTTCTCAACTAATCTGGACACTTACAAAGGCCTGTTCAATGTTCTCCCTACCTCACTCTGTCCCTTTACTATGCCAGATAAGGAGCACAATAAAGATGAATATCTTTATTTCATCAACTTAGACACGATTCTGCAACCCCTTCAAGTTAACATACTAAGTATATACTTTCAAATTAGGGAGAAGGGAAAAAACACTAAGCTAGGAAGAGCTTTCTCTAAGTCCATTAGGGTAAGTGTATACTCCTTTAAGTTCAACATCTTCAAGTCAAAATTGTCTGTATTATTTAGCACACTGAGATTACAAGCTGTCCAATTAATCTTCCTTAGTAGCCACTTTTTAACATGTTGTTATTTGCTTGTTTAGCATTTTTAACAGCTCTCTCTCCATCATCTATAGCTTCAAATGCAAACCCCTCAGCTCAGAAGTTCAGGTCTTCTGCAAGCTGACCCCATAGAAACAATTTATCTTTGTATCCTATTAATATCTCGTTTTTGAAATCTCTAAAAGTACCCAGTCTTTGCTGAACTACTTACCTACTTATTCTTAACTGATCACACCACTCATCTGACAAATCACATGGTGCCCCATTTTGGTGGTTACTAGGTTTCATATACATATATATATGTATGTATATGAAACCTAGCAACCTGTGTGTGTGTGTGTATATGTATATCAATCCTACATAACCAACTAGGTTGGAAGTTCCCAGGAGACAATGAAAATGAGTAAATATATTTGTATTCCTCGAGTGCCCTACACATGGCAGATAATTCAGTAACTATCGTTTCTTGATATGCATAATACATTGTTGCTCTAAAATGATGTTATCATATTTACATGGCATTATATACTTCTTCATGAAATTTGATATTCATTCTCTCAAACTAAATCTGGCCAAAACAGCACTCTTGATTTCCACCATTCCTCCTTACCTAGTTTTCCCCCCTTAAGTAAATGATGCTACCAATTACCCAGAGGTTCCTACCTAAAACCCAGAAGTCACCCTTGGTTCCTCTGTCCTCCTACATCCTCCCCACCCATCACTGCTGAAAGCTCTAACTTTAAAATCTATCTGGCGCACATTAATTTCTCTCTATTGAACTGCTACCTCACCACTACTCTCTGAATTAATTTCTCTCAGGCCCCTCTACTATCTCTTCTCCACATAGCAACCAGAAGAATCATTTGCAAACATGAATCAGACCACATCACTCCCTCATTTCAGTCCCTCCAATAACTACCTGTAGCACTCAGAATAAAATCCGAATGCTACACCATGGCCTATAAGGCTCTACATATCTCACTCCTGCCTACTTTTCTACTGCGAAGACAAGGTATTTTTCCTCTGCATCACCAGGCTCTGGCCTTCCTGGCTGCTTTACTGACTAAAAAAAAAAACCAGGCTTGATCCTGCCCTACAGCCTTGTACATCCTGTTTTCTTTCTCTAAAACATTCTGCCTCCTGAACTCTGAAATCTAAATTAATCACCAGCCTGCCCACCCAACCACATTCACATACCTCACTGTTTTGCTCTTTTTACATCATCTATCTCTGTCTTCCTCATCTACTTACTTGTTTATTGATACGGCACCCCCAAGACTTCCCAACAAGCAAAACTAACTGGCATTTCCCTGTTGTTTCTCCAATATTTACAATAACTCCTGAAACAAAGTAGAAGCTATATAAATAATTTGAATCAGTGAATAAGTAATTTCAATTGATATCCCCAACATCATTGGTAAGTAAGCAGTAAAACTATGATTATCCTCCTTTTCTAGACGGGGAAACTGACATTAAAAACTATTTTAAAACTTTGCTGAAAGTCACATATAGCATATTAGGGATATGGTCAGAATTCAATCTTCAGGCTCGAAGTTCTAATAACTATTATATTAAACATAAAACAGAATAAAATGTAAACATTTATCCCACATATATAAATGTTTTTCTTTCTTACACATTTCTAAAACACACATTATACCCAACCATTATCCAATTACATTGCTATCCAATTGACGTGCATACAGATCTTACATCTGCTAGTCTCTTCCATTTTTCTTCTAAGATCATTCTTTAAAATTCTCCAGAAAGTATCCATCCTAAAACCTTAGGATGAAGCATGAGGGTATATCTTAAGATTCTGTTAATATGAACCACCTTGATGAAACATTATTGTTTTAAAGGAAAACGAAGATGTGTTTTTACACATAAGATAGTACACATAAGCCCTTTTGTATATAGTTGCCATAGAAACAATGTCTCTAGAAATGCCCCATTAAAAGTGGACTCACTTTTAAAGATTTAAACATACCCTTTTAAAAGCCATTCATTGATGGGTGTGATTGATAAAAGCTGAAGAAAAAGCCATATTGTTGCTGGGAAGAATGCAAGTGTGAAGATCTGAATAAAAAGATGCAGTTTTAAATGCACCAAAGCACTGGTCAGCTCCTGGAAAAATGAAGGAGACAAAATAAACAAAGGTAACAAAACTATTCCTGAAAGGAGATTGCTACTAAAATAACATCACATGAGTTAGTTTTTAATTTTGAGTTTTTTCATAGCTAAAATTTTTATCTATAAGTATATGCATATGAAACAGAATGCAAAAGAAAAAAGTTACTCATGATAGTTATAAAGCATTTTTGCATAAAGTTTCTTAAATATTATTTTTCTAGTTTCTTTAAAATATACAATATGCCCTCACAAATCAGATTTGTAAAATTCTGGACCAGGACTAAGCTAACTATATACTAGTATAGATTTGGGGATTGTTGAACAACATACATACATGTTTACCTACATAAAATAATAAATTTTTTCAAAAAAACTAATAATACCTATCACATTTCAACCAAATACAGTAATTAATCTCTATTCACTGCAACAAGGCTATAGGCCTCAATTTAACAAGATGTTACTAAATCTACAAATAATACATTAAAAAATATTTCCCTCAATGATAGTCTCTAACTCAGAATGGCATTTCCTTCCACAATCTACTCACTAGATTCTTTGTTAACATTAACTGAATACCAGCTTTATGCCATAATCTGAGCTTATCACTTTACATGTTATCTCACTTAATCCTCACAAGAAACCCCATTAAGTAGATACTATTATTCCTGTTTTACTGATGAAGAAATTGAAGTTGAGAGCTACTGTATGGTGAAGATCAGAACTAAAGCCCTTTCTGGCATGCTAGCAACTCCATGCCTGTTTCTCCCACTGCTGCTCCAAGGGAGTAAAAATGCACATTAAACATAACAAACCAGGCACATGTTACAAGGCTGACAACTAAAAAAGGGATAATTAGTTAACTTCTGGGGTTCAAATATATATAAACTAACAAATATTTGCATTTGAGTTTATATTATGTTGAAATAAAAACAAAATGGAAAACCAAAATAAAACAAAATTGGAAAGTAGTAGAAAAACTATATTCCTTTAAAACAAGCAAGTGATCATTAAAGCATATTCAACTATGCCAGAGTCACTGCTTGTAAGTATAGAACTGTAATGGCCCCCTTGTTCAAGTAAGATGTTAGGAGATCCTCAGCCTCAGAGACATTAGCCAAAGTTTATCAGCTTAATCAACAGTACGTTCATGCAGACTCATTGGCTCTACCACATTCTGAGATTAATCTCATCACTTTCCACTGTCTATCTCCCTGTGTGGAGATAAACAAAGCAGTTCCTTCCTGTTAGGTCACAAGACATCCCTAAATGACATCTAAAGAATTTCTGGTAATCTGAGTCTAATTTGGGACCACTGGAAAACACAGCCTACCAGAAGTCACATTTGGTTCTGGGATCAGACCTAAGAGAAAGCAAGCCATCCTTACAGTGAATCAGAACTCTTAGAGCTCCATTCCAGAGAAAACTTGAGCACCAGTAGTTCAGAGAATTCTCAACAGTCTTGAAGCTAAATCTCATTTAAATATACTCAGAGCCATTTGATAAACACTAAAAAAATATTAGTATTTTTATTACTTTTTTTTTTTTTTTGAGATGGTATTTCACTCTTGTCATCCAGGTTGGGGTGCAATGGTGTGATCTTGGCTCACTGCGACCTCTACCTCCTGAGTTCAAGTGATTCTCCTGCCTCAATCTCCCAGGTAGCTGGGATTACAGGTGCCCACCACCATGCCAGGCTAATTTTTGTGTTTTTAGTAGAGATGGGGTTTTGCCATGTTGGCCAGGCTGTTGGTCTCAAACTCCTGACCTCAGATGATCCACTCACATCGGCCTCCCAAAGTGCTGGGATTACAGGCATCAGCCACTGCACTCAGCCTGCATATATTTTTGATAGGAGTAAAAATTGACATAACTTTTCTGAAAATGAATTTGGTAATATATATCAAGGACTACAGAATTCATATTCTTAGACCCCAGAACTTTATGACTAGGAATTTAGCCTAAAGATATACAAAATCGTTGTAAACATTTACATACAAAATTGATTACCACAGCATTATCTATTAGAGCAAAATCTGAAAACAAATGTCCAAAAATAAGAGAATCATTTAAAAAGTTAAAATGTAATTGGAGTGTTATGAGTTATTAAATACCTTGTTGATGAGGATGCAGATGTACAGAATCTCTCTCCTACATTATCAATAGGTATATAAATTGACATAACCTACAGAGAGCAATCTGGCAACTCATTCCTTCATTTAAGCAATATTACTGAGCATCTGGCACCATTCTAGGTACTTGGAATATCTGTAACAACTTCAACTACGTAGATCATTTGACCCAGCAATTCCACTTGTAGGAATTTATCCTTTGCATATGTTTCCAAATATGGGAAATAACATATTTTTAGGTTATCCTTTGCAACATGTTTGTAACAGCAAAATCTTGTAAATTAACTAAATGTTCATCAATACAGGACAACGAAAATACACCAGGACACATCCGTGCAACAGAATACTATTTGGTATAAAAAAAAAAAAAAAAAAAAAAAAAAATGGAGTCCTTTATGTGTTGAGGGGAAACAATGTACAAGATATACCTTTTAAGTAAAATAAGGTAAGGTGCCAAACAGTATGAAATACAATTTGTAGGGGTGTGGAATATGCAATTGTATGTTTTACAAAGAATATCTCTGGAAAGGTACACAGAAATTGTTAACATTGTTTGTCTCCAGAGAAGAGAACTGGATAGCTGGTGGAAGAGTGAAAAAAAGACTTATACATCTCTTTGTATCCTTTAATTCTGAACTATGTGAATAAATCGTATGTTCATAAGGGTACATAAAATATACATTTTTGTCATATAAAGAAAATTTAAATATTAATATTAAATTATATTAAAAGTATAAATGTTACAAAAAAATTAAGATAAGAATACATTTGTATATGTGTATAGGTCTGCAATATCTATATATATACATACTTATATTCACATTTTTATTTTTAAAATATTATGTATACAAAACACATTTTTAAAAAGGATAAAAAGTGGGTGTTAATAGCAAGTATTTTTAATCTTTCTAATCTTTCTACAATAAGTAAATACCACTTTCATTACAACAGAAACAAGTTATAAAAACTAAAATGTGATTAGAAAATATTGCTGACCTAATAAATGACAATTAGAAATTGGCATTGCATCGGAATGATAGTAAAGAACCCAGCAAAATGAGCCACAACAACCAACCATGTTGGCTCATGAGGGGCCTCTTAACAATAGGGAAGTGCTACTGAGAAAGATTTTCAAGACTGTCACAAAATCCCAGAGTCATATATTTTTCATATCTTCTTCATACCGCCATAAAAATAAAATAAGGTAACAACAGGAAAGAAAAAGCAAGTAAACCCTATAAATTCCAAAATAGTTATTATTCTGTACATACCCATGTAAAATTTGGGCCACAGAGTCAAATAAATGCCATCATGAATAATCAAAAAGTTGATTCTGCATCATAGTTTGTTTATTCATATGTAATATAGGTCAAAATCCATTAAAATAAACTTAAGAAGACATTCCACCTCATGTACTGATTATGCCAGAGTTTCACTGACAGCATCAAGCACTGCTTAAAACAGGGCTCTGATTGGGACGTAAAAATATTTCCATTAGATACTGATTTATCTTGCAACCCTTTATCTGGCCTTCATCTCGTTCATTTGCTGAGAGTCAGGCTCATAGCTCTGTGCTTGAAACAAACAGAGTGAATATGAAGTTTAGAGTTTGCTATATTTGCTTTTCTGCTAACAGGAAAAAAATAAAAACTTGTAATTGTAATTAATAATTTGCTAATAGGATAAAAATAATAATTTCGTTGAAAAACAAAGAAAAACCTGCATCTTCTGCCCTACTCAGGACCCTTTTTCAGTCTCTGAGTCTCCTGCGCTCCTTTTCCATTCCCAGCACAGTGCCTTGTAGCCACAGGCACTTAACTGGTATTTGTTCAAACGAATTCACCCTGCCACAGTTGGTTAAATAACAAATCCTCCCAGACTATAGGTTTGAAGTGAACTAAATATGAATATTAAACGTGACCGTATTTCACTTCGATAAAACAAAATTTCAAAAAACTAGAAATCAACAGTCATAAAACTGAAGACTCAGCATTGAATCAGCACAGAGGCCTTTAAAATTTTGACAAATTAGTAAAACGAATTTTAGAATACACATCATTAAATCAATGTATGATTAATACAATAAATGTTCAATATAAATCAAACTTGAATGGGACCAACACAAATGCTTTCAAATAAACCAAGTCAATAATAATTCACTGTCTCCTGTGTGCAAAAAGGAACTATTTTAGGACCTAATAAGATACACAAATTGTAATCCCTACTGAAATAAATTTAGGATTATTAACTAGTAAACAAATATGACTGCTACCCTAAATTACAAGTTACCCATGAAATTAGTAGAGTTTAGAGGTGGTTTAATATTACACAATGGTACAATCCAGGACATCTTAAGTTAAATGGCTTTTGAAAATGATATTAGGTTGTATTCATTTGAAAAGGGCTTTTGATGGAAGAAATGGTTTTTATTGCTGCTTAGATACCATGATAAAGCAAGAGATCAAGGCATTTCATTAGATCCAAATTAGCTGGATGACTCTGAAGATTTCTTAGGTGCTTACAAAAGAAGTCAGTCCTCAGAAAAATGCTGACAGCTGTGACATTCTTCCTGCTTCAACTCCTGCATCCCACAAAGTTGGCTGCTTTACAGAATAGCCTTAAGTAAGAAGCTAAAGAGTGAGAGAAATCAAGTTGCTTTCTGGATTTCCCATGGCACAGTAACAGCTGTAGACATTAAGCAGCCACCAGGGACAGTTAGAGCAACGTCCCAAGTAAAGGACTTGGGTTAGGAAGCTGCTCCACCAAGAGCACTAGCCAAGGCCAGCAGGAAGACCTCCAAACAACATCAGTCCGACACTACGGTAGTAGCAAATACCTTTCTGTATCACTACGCCCCACATTTGAGAACCAATATCAGAATTCATACGTTGACAGAAAAAGAAAAAAAAAAAAAAGCCTGTGCCCTATAAATAGTAATCATGGTCCTCTCATATCAATATTGTTTACCAAAACTGGAATTTGATGTACTAGAAAATCTCATCCCGTGTCAGTTATTTTCAGAAGAGCAAGTAATCAGAGAAAATATTTACAACTCTTGAGACACAATTTATCAGTTATAGACACTACACAATTATCCTATGTATATCAAAAAACACCCTAATGAGGCAGGGCGCGGTGGCTTACACCTGTAATCCCAACACTTTGGGAGGCCGAAGTGGGTAGATCATTTGAAGTCAGGAGTTCAAAACCAGCCTGGCCAATGTAGTGAAACCCAGCCTCTACTAAAAATACAAAAATTAGCTGGGCATGGTGGTGGGCACCTGTAGTCCCAGCTACTTGGGAAACTGAGGCATAAGAATCACTTGAAGCCAGGAGGCAGAGGATGCAGTGAGCCGAGATCATGCTACCACACTCCAGCCTAAGTGACAAAGCAAGACTCTGTCTCAAAAAAAAAAAAAAAAAAAAAAAAACAATAAAAAGATTTATACCAACCTCAACCTGATGGCTACAGAATACATAAATTTAGTAAAGTCATGTTTTATTCCACATTGCTATGGGGGTGATCTAAGAAGGAGATAACTAAATTTAGTCATCATTCAAATCACTTTTAAAATAAATAAAGGTGAGACATGATGCTGGACCAGAATTTTAAGTTTTAAAGCCATTTCCAAAAACAAAAAACTTACTTACAGTGAAATATTCCCATCCACATAAGAACAGGATTTTATAATGATAGTTTTATGTAATTTCTTCAAGAGCAAATGGCTACTTTCTCCACTTTTTCTTCCATTGTAAGTCAAAAGAGAATCATAAATTCTACTCATTCCTCTTTCACACATAAATGTAAAAATGTCTGGATTTCTTTACTTCTAAGAGAATCCCATGTCCAGTGAAACCTGAATCAGTAAATAACACTATATATATATGGGTGTGGTGTGTGTCTGTGTGTGTGTGTATATATATACATATATATATGTGTGTGTGTATATATATACACACACACACACACATACACACACACAGACTCGTATGTATATGTGTGGGTGCATACGATAGATATGCTAAGGAACAATAAACTTTTCTAAATAAAAATTAGTTAAAAGTTATGACAAATTAAGCATTATTTGAACAGCATGAGTCCTGAGAACCAAAGATGATCCACCAAAGTATGGAAACCAAACTAAACATCAAGAGCTCAAATGTGCCCAGGCATAGCAGGCACCACTGCAGTTACCACCATAAGCTGAGGAAGAACTAAAGTAGAATAGATACTTCAGTTCAGCTGCCGTATTAAGAACATACTCATTACAACCACATCCTCAGGGTCCATGCTGCTCAACTGTACAGTTTTTATAATACACTTATGCAGGAAAGAAACACAAGTCCTTTGCTGACCAAGTTATCTTCTGCTATAGCAAACCCTTCAGATTATAGCTATAAATGGTATTACCAAAGGATTCTGAAATTTCAGGTAAGTTCAAATTAAATTTTTCTCCCTGCTTTTCATGTGTCCCATAGGTGACAGTACCTCTGTTTTCAATGATAGTCCACTGTTAAAGAATATTGTTGCAACAGCAATGTAGGATACAGTTATTTCTGGCTTCAATGGTCCTAAAAAGAAAAAAAAAAATGAGTTATTGTTAGGAAAGAATTTCCGTAGATAACTTAGCACAAAAGAAGACTCTATTTGTTCATGCCTGTAATCCCAGCCATTTGGGAGGCCAAGGTGAGTAGATCACTTGAGGCCAGGAGTTCAAAACCAGCCTGGCCAACATGGCAAAACCCAGTCTCTACTAAAAATACAAAAATTAGCCAGGCATGGTGGTGTATGCCTATAATCCCAGCTCCTTGGGAGACTGAGTAGGAGGATTACCTAAGCCCAGGAGGTAGAGGTTGCAGTGAGCCTAGATCACACCACTGCACTCCAGCCTGGGCAGCAAAGTGAAACTCTGTCTCAGAATAATCATCATCATTATCTACTGCAGAAAAAATGGTACTTTAGATATCAGTGTCACCCCTACTGTCCGATTGTCCCGACAGAAGTAAGCATTTGTGTGATGCAGCCCAACTCCAGAGAGCATTTTCCAGAGGGCAAGGACCATCGCTGTCTGGCTCAGCTCAGTATCCTCAGACCAGAAGAATAAAGAAGCACACAGGACAGCACGTGAGCAACAACCTTCAGTATAGGTCCTAACTATATCTATCATGGTATCAGCACTTATATGACAATCAAAATATCCCCAAGCCCAGAGAAGAGAATCAACTGAAGAGGTCCCCTTCTCTTTAGCAAATATTATTTCATTTCTTCTAGGATACCAGAAACAAAAGCTTGTAATCACGCATGCATTCAGTTCTGCCCAAGAGTGTTCATCATACAAATCCTTACTGAGCACTTGCTATGTGAATGATAATGCATATAAAGTACTTATTAATATATTGCCATGCCCATAATTATTATTAAATTGTGCGAGGCCCCAGAGATACATGGTGACCCAGCCAGGCCTGGTCCTTGCCTTCCAGGAAATCCTTTTCGGAGTTAGGCTGGCAGCATTCAAAGGCGTTAACACTGTGAGAACAATAGTTAAAACTATCATTTGTGAGCTGATTTAAGTATCATTTGTGACTGTACACAATTGTCTTAAAGACCTAATGTGCTAACAAAGAACAAAATTCTTTAAAAAGATGCAGACCTGAGAAAATGATATTTTATACCTGCATACCAATGGTTCTCCAGCAGTGGCAATCTTGCCCTCCATGGACATATGGCAATGTTTAGAAATGTTTTTTGGTTGTCATAACTTGGGGGATAGGGTATACTACTTGTTAGTATAGATCAAGTGGGTAGAGATCAAGAATTCTATTAAACATCTTAGAAGACATAGAACAGCCCCTCCAACAACAAAAATTATCATGTTCAAAATGTCAATGTGCCAAGGCTGAGAAATCCTGGTATATGGCAACATTTAAAAATCTAATATCATCTCATATTTGGCATTCTATTCAGTCCTCTTGTACTACATTGAGTAGTGCCCCCCTACTCCCAAAATCCATGCTCACCCAGAACCTACGGATGTGACATTTTTGGAAATAGGGTATTTGCACATGTAATCAAGTTAAGATGCAGACTTATTGGATTAGGAAGGTCATTAATCCAATAGCCTATTCTTAAAAGATGGAAATTTGGACACAGACACATGCACAGGGAAGACAGCCATGTGATGACAAAGGTGGACACTGGAGATACAGTGCCACAAGCCAAGGAATGGCTGGCAACCACCACAAGCTGGAATACGCAAAGAAGGATTCTTTCCCAGATGTCATTTGGGGGACATCTTGACCTCAGACTTCTGGCCTCTAGAAATGTGAGAGAACAAATTACCTGGTTCATGGTAATTTGTTGTGGCAGCCCTAAGAAACTAATACACCCCCTTAAGCAAAACAACACGACAACAATCATGGCTTCTCCATGGTCTGAAACCCTCCATTTGCTCAATAAATGGACAGGAAACCAAGCTCAGGAAATAGCACTACATATATATATATATATATATATATATATATATATATATATATGGAGAGAGAGAGAGAGAGAGAGAGAGAGAAGACCTACTACGTCTTAGGCATTTGTAGCACAACAATGAATAAAAGAAACAAAGATTTCTTCAAATGCTGCAATAAATTATTTAACATGCCTGGCATTTACACAAATCATTTTGCTGAGATCTGAGAAAAGGGAGGAAAAGGGAGAAGACAAGTGCAAAAGGCATCACATTTGGGGGCAGTAAAGACTGTTCAAAAACTTAAAAAGAGGTACATTATACTTGTAAGTGAATCTGTCTCAGGAGCTCACACAAGTAATATTTCTTCAACAGCTATGCAGGGTGATTCAGGAGCAGATTTTAAGGTCAAGGAATCTGGCTTGCTTGGGAAGTAGAAGTTTCCCAAAAATTTTAAATACCCTGCCTTTTAAAATTCACATCATTTTAATTTTCTTCCAATCCTTTGGTTTTTATGAGACCTTATGCTTGTCCATCATGGTTCCATCCACAGTGGTGCCTCCAAATTTTCTAGATAAGAGGGGTCAGAGTTAGCATATATGGTGGCAAATGAGAGACTGGGGACATGTCCAAAGACGCGTCTCCACAGCAAACCTGAAACATTTATTTGGATTGCGTAATTATCTGGGGTAGCTAAATACAAGGTATACTGTCTTTTGTATTAGATGCACATCTAAATAACTCTAATCCATGAAAGGTCATATTAAGGATATTCCAGTGCTACCTACAATGTACCTGTAAGAAGAAAAGAGGAATTAATTTAGGGAAGCCCAAGGCCCGTCTGAGACAGAGTCAACTGAGGGGCTGAAACAAGTAGCTCAAGTAGGGCATGCAGAGCTACAAGTCACCAGGGCTGAAATAAAAACTTGGTAAATATTTGCAAGAGGTGAGAGTTGAAACTGAAATATAAAAATGGTATGTGTCCCCTCCATAAGCCAATAATTATATCCTCCAAGTCACCAAAATAATCATATTGGATACTAAGATGGCTACAAAGCTCAAACTGGAAATAGGTTTTTACTTTTCCTTTAAACAAAAATGTTTATCAGCAAAAATGAAAGGGGGTAGCACAATCAAAAGAAAAAATGGTCATAATAATGAAGCAATTTGGGGGCTCGAAAACCCATGCTTTTTAATGGGAGGAAAAAATAAAATGTTAATGAAATACTTAAGAATGCAAGGAACTATTACTATTTTCACAAAAGCCATTCACCACTGGAGTAAATTTCACTTCCAAACCTAATCTAAGATCTTTTAAGGTATTCATGTTAATATACTTAAGCTTATAGCATGTTTTCGGTTATTTTTTTTTTTTAGTGGAAAACTGAAGCAGTTTCCTTTTTAGAGTTAGTGTCATAAATGGTAATAAGTTAAGATGCAGGTAGAAATGAGAACTTACTCTGTAACTTCCAAAGAAGTAAACATTTGTCTTCCCAAGAATGAACAGCACTGTTGAAGTCCCATAAACTCTATGGTATACAATAGCTCAGGGTTTCCTTAGGCCACACTGGGACAGATTGTCAACACTTCAGAATCTACATATTTACATCTACTATAACTTTTTATTTTCAAACTTCTTCTGTATATATTTAAAAATAAAATATAACTGAGTAAGAACAAGAGCTAAGAATTCAATTATCCAAGCTAGTGTGTATTACGCCACTACCCATTTGGAAAGTCATTTAACTTCTCTAATTTTAAGGTTCCCACATCTATAAATTTTCTGCTATACTAACTCACCAACTGACTGTAAAAATTTAGGGGGGGTGGTTGGGGAGGAGTCAGACCATACATATGTGCAATAATTTAAGTTTAGAAGTCTTACACTTAAAAGTAGACTGTAGTCATTAAGGTATCAATCCAGGTAAAGGTGAAGTGAGCATCTTAATAGCAAACTTTTCCTATTTAAAAGTATATCTAAAGATTGTTTACTTGAAAATTATCCAGTCAATATGAATGCATTAAAAATCAGATTTTCAGTGTACAAAGGCCATAAATGGAGCCTTTTCACTAAAAGTTATAAGTCAAAAAAGGTGTTTTAGACCATTCCAAAGAGCAGGACATGACAAAAACACTTTCAGCAGCCATTCCTCTCCTTATTCCTAGATTTTTGTTATTTTAACTAGTGGCATGAGATGGTCATTTGGTATTATTTGGGGGTTTGTTTTTACTTAGGAGGCTATACAAGTGGGAAAATGCATTAAGAGCTCAACAGTGACTTGAGTTCAGACCAGCCTGGGCAACACAGGGAGATCCCCATCTCTACAAAAAATAAAAATTATTGGGTGTAGTGGCACATGTCTGTGGTCCCAGCTACTTGAGAGGCTGAACTGAGAGAACTGCTTGGACTCAGGAGGCTGAAATGGCAGTGAGCCATGATCTCACTGCTGCACTCCAGCCTGGGTGACCGAGGGAGACCCCCCATCTCAAACAAAACCAGAAGTATCAATGACTTAGCCTGATAAGCTGTAAAGAAAATTCCAAACAATTGTTTAACTTATATTTTTAGAAAAAGTATCTTTTCCATATGAATAACTATCAAAGAAATCATGAGCGCATTGTTAAATAGTAACTGATTTTACTCTTCTCCTTTGCATTAAAAAGCATGGCATGGAAAACGTCTTTATTACAGTCAGTCTTTCCTTATAATGTTTATTTATTTTAATAATTTTTTTTGCCAGAACCATTAGTATAGATTTTGCAGCTGGTGTGAAATAAGGGGAAGTCTTGGTCTCGAATAGTTCCTCTTCCATAAGCTAGCCACCTTAACATAGAGTGAGTCACCTGGCATCAAGCCTCAGTATCTTCAACTGTAAAAGAAGCATGTTGGCTTAAAACACTTTAAATGTTCCCTTCCCACTCTTAACATTCAATTGTAATTTTAAAAAGGAACGAATTATCCTACTTTAATGTAGGATTAAGGACTAGGTAAATTAGTCCTTAAAGACATTAAAGACATAAGGACTAGTGAAAATGGGAAACGGCATTTCTATGATACAATTATGTACCAAAATGTTAATAAGCAGAGTCCATGGAACAAATAAACTTGCAGAATCTATCTCATACATGCCATGGCAGAAAAGCCCCACGGAAATGATTCAGCATTCAACACCTTTCTTCCCGCAGAGTATTTGGAAATGTAAAGTAAAAGATACTTTGCCAAACTTAGCCCCTGCAGATTTAAAGTTAAAGATCATACATCATCTGGAATTTCACCTCAAAACTGAGCAAATAAGAGATCTAACACCAGAAGCTATAGCTAGAAGAGTGCCTTGCAGATCATGCAAAGGTACTCTAGGTCTTACTATTCCTGTAGCTCCAGGGATGGAGACGGGGTCTTCATTTGACTAACCTGATCTTCACAAGAGTTTCCCGAAAGTTCACAGAGCAGCCTTGTTAAAGAAGAAACTGTTACCATCAGAGGGAGAAATCACCAGGAATAACTGCTTTATTCTCATAGTTACACATTCTACACATTTTGTTCTAAGTTAAATACAGAAGAACAAAATTTTAAAATGAACAAAAAAGCCTTCAACTCCACAATTTTAGTTTAAATAATTCCTTTTAAAATGTTCCTGGAAGCTACTTCTAAACAGAGGAATCCGGTGAGGTTAAGGGGAGAAGGGACCACTACTGTTCTCCTGAGAGATCATTTCATTCATTTCCATCATGTTTTAGCAGAACGATACCAATAACTTCAAATATCCTCCTGAGAAATTCCTACTATGAAAAGATCGTGCCTGTTCAGCTTTGTCCTTATTTGCTCCGGTTGTATGACTTAGGTATTAAACCGGTCAATAAGCTTGGAAACTGACAAACAAGGTCAAAAACAATCGCACTGAATAAATTCAATGTTTAAAGATTGTCTAAAGGTGTGGAGGGTGGGGCATAAAAAACTAGTATTTCTAATGTTCCCACCAGTGCCCATCGCCCCCAGTACAAAGCTCCCACTATTCAGAGATTTAAGTATGCTTTCAGTCCATCTACACTTCCTTGCCAAAATACACACTACACTACACATAGTCTAACACAGTCTGTATCTGTGCTAGCACAGAACTGAATCCCGGCAGCACACGGAAGTAGCGCCCTGTAATGAAAGAGTGCAACGTGTCAGTCGGCTTGGGAGTTTCTGGAGCGTCAGGAACTACAGCAAATCATCACTCTCCAACATGTGGGCCACAAAATCTGAGTTGGGAGCGGAGGTGTCCCTTTTCCTTGTTTTTCCTCCACTTTTTTTTTTTAATGTGGGGGCGGGCTGGACTCGAAAGTAGACTGGATAATGAGGTCCACTCCAAGATAGATAAGAAACTCTTGGCAACCTAGAGTCCCTTGGGATAGGATGCTACTTTGAAGGCAAGAGGAGTAAGTTTCATTCTCTGTAACCTCACTTCTTAACACTGAGGATAGTCATTGTCTGCGGAAAAGACTACCTGCACTCAAATTCCTTTGCCCCGTTCCTAATTACAAGTTCCCTCTGGGGTTGGTAAATTAGAAAATCAGCAAAAGGGCCAAAGGCTGGTCAGTGCCCCTGAGACTGGCAAGCGCTTGCAATGAGGGTTGCCCCACCTTTCCAAGACTCACAAATGAGTTCTGAAGTGGGAGCCGCGGTGGAGCACGCAGAGGTGCCGCACTTACCCCCATTCACCCCTATGGACGGCTCCAGTTTAGCTCCGGCGATCGCCAGTACTATTCCGATCATGAACCAGTCTTTCCTCATTCTCTCCAGCAGCCTCATATTTGTTAGGGTGGGTGGGTTTTGTTTATTTGTTTGGCTTTTTTTCTTTTCAAGCTGCGATCACCTAATCCCTGGAGCGTCTCCACACTTTCCTTGGTCCCTCCAGACATGCAGCAGAGCAAGTCAAATTGCCACTTGTAAACTAAAGACCTGGGGGTTGCTCCGGCGGCTTTGAGGAGGGTTGGGAGTAGTAGTATCCAGTGACAGGAAAGTCTCACTGAGCGCCGCCATCACTACCACGCGCCTCCGAATACACGCGCACAAACGCACCCAGCACCTCTAGCCGAGGGCTCGCAGGTGCAAATGCTTTGAAACGAACTTTGACCAGGCCGAGGAACGGAGGCAATCGGGCAAGGGAAACTGGCCGCCGGATGGGACTGACAAACCCACCGCTGCCGGGACCTGCGGAACCTTCTGAATGACGTGGGGTAGGGAGAGCGTCTTAGGCGCCACAGCCTCCCAGCCTCATTGATTGTCCCTCTCCAACAAACCTTTAGGCACAGCCACCCACGCTTCTGGAGCATATCTCCATGGAGAGATCCTCTTTTGCTCTGCTATGGCCCCGCGGGCAGGATTGGAGTGTGCTTGGGGCAAGGGATTTCTCCTTTGAAGCTGCGGCAGCGAGGTGCAAGTTTTGAGGCGCGCTTCTTCGGGGCATTACGGCGCCTCCCAGACGCCAGTGCTGACGTCTGCGCGGGGGAGGGGAGGCCACTCCGGGTCTCGGAGTTCCCTACCCGAGCAGCCCGAGTTAGACGCGTCTGCGCGGGAAAGTGGCTCGCTGGTGGGCGGGGAGCCTTAGCCCTGGCTGTGGGGTGGTAATCCGGCGCCGGACAGACGCGCACGTTCGCAGGACCCCAGCATTCCGGCGTCCGCTGCAACCCAAGGAAAATGGGCCGGACCTTGCCAGGTCGCTCGCCTGTGGGAGGGCGTTTGGCCCAGATCCCCTTCCCTCCGCCGCCCACACCTGTCCCGGGACTGGGGAGGACTGCGGGGATCTGGGCAAATCTGCCTTTGCAGGCGGAGAGTGAGAGCGCAGGTCTCCTCCCCACCAGCGAAACTACCCGCGGGCGGAGTGGGGTCTACTTTGTCGAGTGCCAGGGCGGGCTGGTGCCCGCTCTCGCTGGACCCCACGGCTGATCTACGCAAGCCACAGGAAGACTCTGGGAAGAGGGGCGGGGATTCCAAAGCAGAAGTGGTGGGGGGTTGAGTCTGAGAAGTTGGGGAGTTCAGCCTTCCATTGCCACTGAGTGCTGGTTCTATCCTCCAGTTTCTTCCCTGAAATGTCTCGTAGCAACCAGTGACATTGGTGGTTTACAGGAATTGAGCTGTTTTAACTATACAGCTGTTCATAAATGGACCCTGCAAGAGCATGAACTCACCTGTATCATTCATCCAAATGAAGAATGAAAGAAAGCAGTATGTGACATTTTGAAATAACCTGGCATCTGCCAGTTAAATAGTTAAAAATGGAACTTAAGGTTTGGAAGAGATTGTTTTGTGATGCCAGACTTTAATTCTGAATGTATTCAAAGCTGGAAAGACACTTGTCATGTCATTTCCTCTATTCATTTTTGCTTTATCTTGATGGCACGACTTCTAGAAACTAAGCCACTTTAAGCAATTGTGCTCCCAGTTGTAGGTTACATAGTACCACGTGTCATCTAATTATACATCAGGCAACATGAAAAAAAATTAATTTCAAGATAAAAAGAACTTAACAGGAAGACATAGATGACATTAAACAGTTTACTCTGAAATGAGAGAGGCATATGAAATATGATAAAATTTGATGTTAATTGTCAGGCATTCAGAAGATAAGTGAAGATAAATGAAAGATAGTTTACAACATAATTATTTTCTTATAGTAAATTCTTAGTAGGTTAAAGAGTCATATGTCTCAGTCATTGAAGGGATAGTTTTGTGTTAAAACATCATTAAACATTAACTTTACAGAAATTGAGCTGTTTTAACTTTACAGCTGTTCACAAATTGTTTACTAAGACCTCTTTGATCTGTTTAGAACAGAATCTAACTCAGAGATTTTTTTGTTTTGTTTTTAATAGTACTTAGAGGAAAAAAATAGTGTGTCACGAGTTCTATTCTGTTAAGGCCTGTATTTGTTTGCTGTGGCTGCTGAAACAAATACTCGAAATTGGTTGCCTTCAAACAACAGAAATGTATTCTCTCACAATTCTGGAGGACGGAAGTCCAAAATCAAGATTTTGGCAAGGCCACACTCCCTCTGAAGGCTCTAGGTCTTTGCATATATAGTAAGATGAGGTTATGCTCGATTAAAATGGATCCTAAATCCAGTGACTGGTATCCTTATAGGAATGTCATGTGAAGGCACAGGAGAGACAGAGGAGACCCCATGTGAAGATGGAAGCAGAAGTTAAAGTGATGTGTCAGCAAGCCAAAGAATGCCGAGGATTTCCAGCAACCACCAGAAGCTAGGAGAGGCATGAAACAGATTTTTTTTTTTCTCTCAGTGCTTCTAGAAGCAACAAACCCCGCTGACACCTTGATTTTAGACTTCTAGCCTTCTGAAATAGAAGAAAATAAATGGTGGTTATCCTAAGCCATTCAGTTTGCAGTACTTTGTTATAGTAGCTCAGAGAAATGAACACAGCAGCATTCACAGCCTCCAGAGTTTTGATGTGAATTTGTCTTTGATGTGGCCACCACTAACCCCACTATAAGACACATCTCTGCCTTCTCTTTCTTCCAATACTCTCTTTATTTACTCTTCCATCTCACTCATTTTTTCTGTTATTTCTTTTTCTTTCCACTGCTTCTCACCTTAGTTTTTTTTTTCTTTACCTCTGCCACTTGACCAGACACCATCCCAACCAAAATGGGCACATAAAAGCAAAGTTCTTTAAAAGACACAATAAACTTTGCTTATTCAATACGTATTAAATTTTTTTATTGAAAACATATGAAATATGCCCTTCAGTGTATGCCAGGCATGTGCCAGATACTGAGCATTCAATGGTGAGCCAAAAAGACACAAAACTTGCTTTAATGGAGCTTATAATCTGGTGCAGGAAACAGATGCAAACAGCTTGTGCTTTATGGAAGGAAAATGGCAGGATATTGAGAGTAGTTTAGATTGGAGAAAACAGGCAACCCTGAGATCTGAAGAGTGAACAAACATGTGGGTTGCTCAGGCAGGATGAACTTGACACTTCTTGGAATTTAAAAACCAGTGTAACTAGACCAGTCAGTGAAGGGAGAGTGATAGGAGAAAGATGAAAACCTGGGTAGGGTGCAGACTATATGAGACTTCTCATGTTGCGGTATGTTGTGGACCGTCCGGGACGGGTAGGCACGTCTGCCCGGGGGTCTCTCGACCTGCAAGAGGGTCCCAATACCTGGAAGAGGGAGTGCATCTGGAAAAATAATAAAGACAGAGAGAGAGAAAGCGAGGCGTCTGGAGGGCTGATAGGCTGTGCCTAAACAGCAAATTTTATTTTTCAAAGGCCAGGAATAAATACACTTTCTTGGCTCTGGTTTACGTCATAGTAAGAGGAATGTAAATGTATGCCTCACATAGCCTATACAATAGAGAAGTCAGGTATGCGATCAATGGTTGTAAAAAGTAACAAAATTTTCTACAATCACAAAGTTTGTTTGCATCCAAACATTATTCACAAAGCTTGTTTATATCCAAACATTATTCAGGAGACTTGTTTATATCCAAACATTGTTCCTCCTGGCTGCAGGTATCTCTGGTTTGACCTTGTTTTAGAACTGAGATGTGAAAAGGTTTTTTGGTTTTGCTCATCAGAATATCTTTTAATCGGATTCTCTTTTGTCTACTCCTGACTCAACTTAACTCAACTTCCCCATTCAGGAATCTCTGAGTCAGGAATCAAAGCCATCCTTTATGGTGGCATTTTTCTTTGCAAATATCGACAGTTAAACCATTATCTAGGGTACAAGGCAGTCTTGTTAGGTTTAAGGCTTATTCTTAAAGTCATAAAAAGGTCATAGCAGGAACCGGTTGCTGGTAGGGGGTTACTCGGTCTAGCAGCAACGCATAGTTTTAGGCCCAAACGATATTGTGGTTGATATTAGAAACTGATCATTCATCTTTCAGTTCCTATATTTCTGGATAGCTCGACTGCCTCCAGTAGGAAACTGTGTTTGGGATCAAACTCACCATATAGTGAGACTCACGCCTTTGAGGGGGTCTCACACGGGAGTGTTCCCCACAGCGGTAAAGGATTTAGCTTCAATTAAAGACTAGAAAGTCACAGAAGGATTTTAAGCTAGCAAGTGTCATGCTTGGTCTTGCTGAAGGGATTGTCTTAGAAGCAGTGTCTGGACAAATAGTTCGGGAAGTGACTATGTTAGTGGAGCTGGGAAAGGAAATTATTACAAAAACTATTAAACAGGAAAAATAAACTACCAGTCATCTGTAGGGGAATAGGAAGGAAGTAGAAAATGACTCCCAGGAATTTGTTTGGCAGATAGGTACTGGTGCCCTTGTTTTAGCCAACAAATCTGCAATGTAAATTTGGGGCATAGATTTAAAATTCAGTTTTGTATGTCTGGAATTCAGGGATGACTGGAGTGTGTCAATAGAACTGTCCAGAATGCAGGCAAAATGGGATCTTGATCTCATGAGGATGGAGTTGGCTCAAACTGTATCTCTGGGATTCTTCAACAACAAATTATGGAAGCCATAGGCATTAATGTAGTAGATATCTATTTTCTAAACTTTGTTACTTACACTGGCTACTTGATTTCTTTGAATGTGGTTCATTTACTTATTCATTATATGTATGAATGGTTAATGTTACCAAAAAGGTACAGGTACACCTATGCCTGCTATCGCAGAGTTTATGTTCAATAAAATGGTGATAGGAATTCTACCGCATTGGGCTGATGAAAAGATTAAATGGAATAGTATATATCCATTATCTTGCATGAAATAAATGTTCACTCATTCATTTATTCAGCAAATATTGAGCTCCTGCTATGTAGTAGGCACTAGTCTAAGTAGTGGGGTTATAAGGAAATAGAAGAGACAAAGTTTCAGCTTTCCTTGTGTGTTCTAATAATAATAACATAAAGAAAAAGGTGGCAAGAAGTGACAGGTGTCATGATTAATATAAAGCAAGGTCATGTGATAGAGTAACAAGGGAGCTATTTTAATTGAAGTCAGGGAAAGTGTCTTAGTTTGGCTTGCTATCACAAGTTACCAAAGACTGAGTAGTTTAAAAAAGAAACATTTCTCATAATTATG